GCCCGGCTCTGGGACGCGCAAGTGGGGAGAGGGGCTGGGCGTCCAAGGTGGTCTTAGCATCGTGTCAGGTCCAAAGACCCTCCGTGGCCCGAGCCGCCGCTCTTGCACCATCCATGCCGTCCTGCGTAGTTAATCATAGAGCTGAAAGGGAACAGCCCAAGGGGGAAACGGGTTCTCTCCCAGCGACTTGGGTCCGTGTCCCCTTTGTCTGATGGGGGCTGGCACTGTGCACAGCGGAAAGGCACCGAGGGAAGGGAGGGCTGGGAGGCATGGGACAGGGTCAGGCAGGGGCGCTGGCATCCCGGCACCAACGTTCAGGGAGGAGCCCGGGGACCCTGCCCGCCCCAGGCCCAGCCGCGGCCACTTCTACAGCAGCCAGAGGGGCCTCTGACCCATCGGCTCCTTTTCCTCCAAGGAGGGTCCCAAAAACCAATGAGGAGGACTCAGGACCCTGCTGGCCATGCTGAGCCCCGCACCCTCCCTGCCTGTGATGCTCTGGGCTCTCCTGCTGATACCTGCCTCCCTGAGTGCTCAGACTGGAAGTAAGTCTTGAGGTCCCACTCTCGGCAGGGCGGTGGGGAGGGGCTCAGTCCCAGGTCAGGCTCAGGCCCAGGTAATGACCGTGACCCCAGGGAGGGCCGTTGGTGAATGTCCTGAGGCCCAGTCATGACCAACATGTGTGACTGTCCCCTGCACACAGCATGGGACGAGCACACCTGCACCAAGGGCGTGGTCTCCGTGTCCAGGGGTGAGCGTGCTGTGATGACCTGCAACCTCTCCAGCCCCATCTCCTACATCAACATCTGCCTGGTTCGCTCCGGGGGGCCCTGTCAGACCATCTTCAAAAACGTGAGCCCAGGAAACTACTCCGAGGGTGGGTGGCAGCTCTGGATTCAAGAAGACACAGCACAGCTGGTGACGGAGAAAGCCCAGGACAGCCAGGCAGGGCAGTACTTGTGGCGGATTGCGGCACGCCAAATAAGCATTAAAAATACCACCCTGAACATTTCAGGTGAGTGGGGCAGGGCGGCTTGATTTCCAGCCCAAGTGACCAGAGCCGGGATTCCCACAAAGAAAACCAGACAAGACCCAGCCCCTTCCCCTCCCTGCAGTCACCCTCGGTCCCCTCACCTTCTCCAGTGGCAACTCCCCCGCCTTCAGGCTGCCCTGGACACGGTCCACCTCAAGGGCCTGGCACGCAGCCCCCAAACCAGGACCTCCTCTCTGACCACCCTCCTACCTTTACCGCCGGCGCCCTCCCAGACTCACTTCTTAGGACCTGGCCATTTTGATTCACTGAAAAAATGGAAACATTCAGCAGAGAACACCTCCCCCACTTCTCTGCCCCCTCCATGTTCTCCCCAGGGGGCCCCTGTACCATGGACGCCCGCCCCAAGGGCACTACTTGCTTCCCTCCCTAAAAACCCCCTCACCCACTGCCCCCTCTTCCTTTGTTGCAAAGCTCTCCAAGCCTACACCATGCACACCTGGTTCTAGTGCCATGTGGTCTCTGAGCCCTGGTGGCAGGGAGCTGCTGGTGGGGTCCCCCCACCCCCAGGGGCAGTGAGAGTAGCTGAGAACGGCACCCAGCCTGGCCAGGCTGTGGGACAGGGGCCAGTGAGACCTCCTGGACTCTTGTGCCCAGGTCTCATCTCACATCTGGGGGGCTGCCTCAGGCTCGCCCTGGGAGCCCCTAACCTGCCCCCTGTCTCCCTAGCAGAGCCCCAGGAGCTGCCCTTCATGTCATCCCATGGTAGGTGTTTATCCTTCTCCAGAGATATAGGTGAGGAACCCCTTGGCGTCCTCCTTTGGGCTGTCCCACCCTCGGGGGTGGCTGTGTACCCTATTTTCCTGCCCTCTCTCCTGCCCTGGGCTTCCCGCCATGGGGGTGATGAACCCCTCAGGGTGGGCTCAAGGTGGGCCATGGCCCCTGCCTGCAGAAGCTCATGATGAGTGATAGCAGCCCTGCTCTCTCCCCGCAGGCCCAGAGATGCTCTTCACCCTGCCTGAGGCCATGCCCCAATCCCAGCGCCGGGACCCCGTCATTGTCCCCTCCTTTGTCATCCTCTTTGTCATCCTCTTTGTCATCCTGGGGTTCTTTGGTGTGTTCTGGCACAGAAGGTGCCCTTTCACCAGGCTCCAGGAGCTCCCGCAGGTACACTCTGTGTGGTCTGTGGGTTGGGGTGGGGGCGGCTTGGGTGAGGGCCAGGGCCCTATGTGGACACTGGGCCCCATGGCCTTGCATCCACCGGGGCCAAAGGGAGGGTGGAGGGAGTGCAGGGTCCCAGAGAGCAGGTGGCCTTCCCCCAGAGGACCCCAGCCAGATGCACCAGGTCCCACTGTCCCCCAAGCTGTCACTGTGTCCCCGGACACCCTGGAGAGCAGCATGGTGGGGGTGGGGACTGGACTTCCAGGGGCCCTAGGATGTGCGGCTCAGTGATGTGTCTGCGTCAGTGTGCCGGGGCGTGCACACGTCTCCTTGCCACCTCTCACTCCTCTCCCCACCCCCCCTGCAGGAGAGCCAGATCTGAGTGAGGATGGACGTCCACCAGGAGGGTGACGAAGCAAGCCCACCTGCCACCCAGGACCCAGCCCCAGAGCCCGGATTCCCACAAAGAACACCAGACAAGACCCAGCCCCTTCCCCTCCCTGCAGTCGCCCCACCCCGACCAAGACTGCCTACACAGGGTGGTCTTACCCTCCCCTGTTTGGGCTGAGAGGTGCCCAAGGTGGCAGAGGGAGGCAGGACCCTGTCCCTGTCTGCTGGCAGGAGGCGGGTATGCTGGGGGAGCCCTGTGACCTCACTCAGAAAGGCTGCCGAATCCTGGCCTCCCAGTCACTCACCCCAGAGACCCGGGACCTTTTCTTCCCCGCCTCAGTCTCCCAAGTGCCCCCCCCTCTCTGCTGCCCAAAATGTGAATCTCAAGTTCCAAACACTTGACCTGACAGGATCCTCCCTTCCACTCCATTCAGGGTGTGGACGCCTCCTCCCGGAAGGGGTGCTGCTGTCACCTCCCAGATGCCCGTTTTTTGGTGCGAGGTTGATCTTGGGCATTCTCCTGTCTTTTGACTCTGAGCAAGAACAAGTTTTGGGGACCCTCCTGCCACTGGTCACGGAGCCAAGATGGGGGCTTACAGGCGGGAGATGGTGTGTCAGCCCACGACCACTACTTGGGGTCGTGGCAGCAGGCGCCTCTCAGGAAGGAAGGTGGGACAGGTGACTGCCAGCAGGACCCTTTCCCACCCGCCACACGGTTGTCTGTGCCAACCCTGTCTGTCCTGCCTGCCCTGCCTGCTGGCCCTCCCCTACCCCAAACCCATTTATGCCAGATGTCTTCATAATCGCCCCCTGTATATAACCTATACATGTATTTTTAATAGCAACAAATCTTTGAGATTTTTAAAAATAATTTTTTAAAACAAAAGCCCCCGGGGCNTAAAGTTTGGCCACCCATGGGTGCTTCATGGTCTGGGAGGCCTTTTTAAAAGGATGCTTAAACAAACAAAAAAACACGTTTAAGACAAAATCTGAAGCTCTCAAGGAAAAGTTGGACGACGTATTCCTGTGGAGTCCTATTATTCCAGAAACCATCAAGGGAGAAGTGACTGCCCAGGGGACGCTTCTGCCTTGTGGATGGTGGTTCGTTTCTTTAAAACACGGGAGCCTTACAAACCCGCATGGAGAAGACAGACAATCCCAGAAAAATGGGCAAAGGGCTCGCAAAGGCTTGGCAAAGTGGCAGAAGGAGGGCTCACCCACCAGACACAGCCATGCTGTTAAAAACAAAGAGAGTAAGCCTTCTCTGTGTTTTAGGAATGCAGGGAGGCACCAAACAACGCCTAAAACAGCAAGGGGGTGATGGCAGGCAGCGGGCGGCTGGAGGAGCCTGTGGTGGGTGCAGGCTAGGTGCTGGGGGCCCACGGCACTGATCGCTGTGCCTAAGTGATGGACGGGATGGTGGTGAGAATGACGCACGCCACGCATGGTGGTAGCACAGCCCTGGGCCCTGCTGCCATGAGTTCACAGACACCGGGCACAGTCGGGAACAGCCGCTGGGTCATGTTGGTTGCCTCTGATGTATGAAACATCGGAACTCGGCTACTCATACAGTCCGTGATGCCTAGGTGCTCACAGCATGCCCCGTTCATGAAAGTCCCTGTCGAGGAGACTTGGGGTCTGTTCATAGGAGAATAGGCTCGTACCACGTGGAGGCCCCTCTGGCTTTGGCATGGCTTCCCATCCAGGATGCACTCAGGGTGAACACCATCCCCTGTAGAGCACAAGCACCCCTGAGTTCCCTGTGAATTGAGTGAGGAAGAAATCGCCATCCTTCCATCGGCCTGGCTGTCGGGCCGTCTGTTCTGCCTGGTCCAATCCGTGGATGGCGTCCTGACTCGGGCCAGCCCTGGGCCATGGACACACCTTGTGCCAGGGTCCCCTCCTGTCCTCCCCGGGGGTGTGGCCGCCGACCCAGAGCCCCTGTGGGCCCGGCATTCAGGAACACGGGAGAGCGTGAGGTTTGCAGTGTACATTCTTGAAACTCTCTTTCCGCCTCAACTTGGATGTTTCTCTCAAGAGCTGGACATAACCGTTTTCTTTCCTTCGTGAGGCCGTGCAGGGCAAGGTGGGCCTCCCTGGCCCCAGATCAGCGGGTTTGTGCACCCTGCCCCGCTCCCACCAGGGCCCCCCGGGGCCAGCTGGCATGGTCATGAAGTTGGTGACGTGTGAAGGAAGGGCTTGCCGGTACCCTGGCTGGGACGTGCTGGCCCAAGGAACACCAGCCCTGCGGTGATGCCAGCAGCGGGCGAGACCACAGGTGGTCAGCAGCCAGGGAATTCTCTGCATTTCCTGCCCAACTTTCCTGTAAACCTAAAGCTACTGAAAAGCAAAACAAAGTATATTGTTTTTAAATCCAAGGATTAATAAATGGTCTGGCCAGCAATTTCAAAGCACTTTTAAATAGTTTAAAGGAACCAGGATAAATGTCACACTAAAGGGTGGCCGAGCCGAGGTGGCACTTGCTTCACAGAAAGTGGGAGCCATGGC